CCTGCGCTTGCCTAAACAGGCGCTTAGTCTGCTGAGTTAACTTGTCAGTCCTCAGGATTCTATTTTTAAAAGAAAACAAACAAACATCTAGTAGAACAAAAAAGCAAGGTCAGAAGATACAGACACTACATAGAGAGAATATTCACAAACCGCATGCTTCACAAATGACTTGTATTTTATGCTTGCATTATTGTTGCGTTTTCATAAATTACAATCACAAAATGAGATCAGAAAAAACAACTGCATTACAATAGCATAAGAAAAGAATGAAAGACAGAAACAAAATTAGCAAGGGAACTGATAAAACTTCCTCACCAAGTACAAAACACAGCTGAGATTTGAAGGGGACCTAAATAAATGAACAGATATACTATGTTCATGGAGTTGAAAACTCAGTATTAAGGCCAAATTCCAAATTCATCTATAGATGCAATGATATTCCTATTGAAATCCCAGAAAGCCTTAAAGGAATTAATAAAATGACCTCAACATTTACACATAAACACAAAGGACCTAAAGTTTTGAAATACAATGAATTTGAAGACTCACTCTGATTTCAAAATTTATGATTAAGCTATAGTAATCATGACCCTGTGGTACTGGCATAAGGACAGCCACATAGAATGATGGGATGGAACAGAAAATCCAGCAGAAAAAACTTCTGACCAACTGATTTCTTTTTCCAAAGGTGCTAAAAAATTCAAAATTAAATTTTTTTTCAACAAATAATGCTAGAACAGTGGACACTTACATGCAAATAACCAAGAAGCCAATATCCTTACCACAAAATATGTGCAGAAAACTAATTCCAAATGGATCAGAGGGGCTGAAAAGATGGCTTTGCAGCAACAAGTGCCTGCCTGGGAAGTGCAAGGTCCAGAGTTCAATCCCCGGTACCGAATACTATGCCTGCTCCAGAACTGGGGGTGGTGGTGCACTCCTATAATCCCAGCACTAAGAGAGGCTGAGACAGGAGGATCACTATGAATCTGAACTGCATAGCAAGACCCTGTATCAAAAACTAAAAAAATGAATAAATAAAAATAAAAACAAATGGGCCAGAGACCTAACTTCAAGTGTCATGGCCATCCACTTCTAGAAAAACAAAACAAAACACAGAAGGCAGTCACTGTGACCATGGCCTACACAAACATTACTTAACCATCACCCCCAAAGCATGAACCTGAAAAGAATAACTAGATAACTAGATATCATCAAAACTGAAAATACAGAGCCAGGGAGACGGCTCAGTAGAATAAGCGCTTCCCTGGCAAGTGCAAGGGCCTGAGTTCAATCCCTGGCTCTGGAAAAAAACAAACAAACAAACAAAAAAGCACCCCTGAAAATACTGCCTTTCCAAAAGCTCTGTTAATAGGATGAAAACATAAACTATAGAGTGGGGGGGGGGCTGGTGAGATGGCTCAGTGGTCTAAAGCACCTACTTGGAACAAGCTTAGCAAGCACAGGGACCGTGGTTCAATCCCCCAGCACCACATGCCATCCAGCCCCGCCCCCTGGTGGGCTGAGCTGGACACACACACACACACACACACACA